AATTATTTACAATGTTTTCTTACAGGAACATGCGTTAAATACGTTACTGGCGAGTTACTGAAGTTCATTAATGTTATATAAATTTATCTTAAAAAAGCGGGAATCTCACGCGACGTGACAGTACAAAACAGTATTGCTGCTTCAGGATATTTCAGACATATGGACTTGATCTTCCATTGTTATATGAATTTGATAAGAAGTGCTCAACATTTTCACGCTAGAAACATGTTTTATTCAGGAATGTAACTGATATGCTGCAACGGCTCCTTTAAATACGAGATCAATGTAGCGAGTTTTGACGCTCTCGCCGCCGGAGCTGAAAGCAGTCAGCGTTTTCGCCAGGGCGGTCAGAGCAACCTTGGACGCTCTCTGCGCTTTCGGTGTGAACGTACGGTAAAGGTGGATGGCTGCTTCTCACTCAGGGCTGTTTGTGATAATGAGGTCACCAATGGGCGGGGCTTTCCCCCTCTGATGACACGTACAAATGGAGAATGTCAATTAAAGAGTTTCTGCAGACTGTTTTAATTAAGTCAGATAATAAAATTTTATTAATTAATTTTTACCATTAGAAGCTGGTTAAAAAACGATTGGTCCGTGTAAGAAATTGAACGTTATTTACAATATTATTAGCTTTAATCCACAGTCTGGACAAACAGATCTCTGCGCATGTGCTAATGTAGTCCGGTCGCTTTAATGACAACTAATAATATTGTATGAGCCAATATCATAGGCGAAGCAGTGGCGCAGTAGGTAGTGCTGTCGCCTCACAACAAGAAGGTCGCTGGGTCGCTGGTTCGAGCCTCGGCTCAGTTGGCGTTTCTGTGTGGAGTTTGCATGTTCTCCCTGCATTCGCGTGGGTTTCCTCTGGGTGCTCCGGTTTCCCCCACAGTCCAAAGACATGCAGTACAGGTGAATTGAGTAGGCTAAATTGTCCGTAGTGTATGAATGTGTGTGTGGATGTTTCCCAGAGATGGGTTGCAGCTGGAAGGGCATCCGCTGCGTAAAAACTTGCTGGATAAGTTGGCGGTTCATTCCGCTGTGGCGACCCCGGATTAATAAAGGGACTAAGCCGACAAGAAAATGAATGAAGCCAATATTATTGTAAATAATGTTTAATTTCTTCGCTTCACAAGACCTCAGTGCGTCATCAGGAGCCATGGCTATTGATTTGGACTCGTCTGTATGTTTATTTTTATTCTCAAAAACCGGTCACCATTCACTGCCATCATATGATCACTAACCCCCACAGATTCTGCTCAAAATGTTCTACTGAATTAAAATAGTCACCGACATACTTTGATGACCTGTGGGTGAGTAAATGAACAGGAAAGTTTTATTTCTGTGTGAACTATCCCTTTAAGATTTACCTGAAGTTACGGTACAAATGTTGGAAAGTTTTGCGTGAGTTAGTTGAGTCCAGACGGTTCCTGGCCCTGAAGCTCAGCTCTGGTTCATCTGCGAGTGGAGTATTGATTGAGACGGTGGAGATCCTGGTCTTTTCGTCTCTCTGCATTGGTATTTATAGCTGGAATTCTGGAGGCGTGTGAAAGAAGAGAGCATTAAACCTCTCATCCCTCTCTCTCTCTCTCTGTGTGTACACTGAAAAAAAGATTCATTGGATTTACTACTTTTTTAAGGTGAGTGCTTGCAAACAATTCATATGGGCTGACTTTAAACCACATCTGTCAATTACAAGGCCTGCAGGCCAAATGCGGCCCGTCAAAACATTTAATCAGGCCCGACAACAAGTTTTGGTAATGAAGTGGCCCGTGCCCACGTTCAATATTAGGATTGTGAGAATTACAATATTGAGACGCAGGTGGTGCTGTTGCACTTTACCATCCTCACTAATTTAGACGTTAGCGCAACGTTGCACTAAATGTAAACAAGGATAAGTATTTCTGGGACTAGCACAATGTCAAAGAAACCGCCTCACAGACACCATATTAGGTCTGAAATCCACAAGTTCAGAGTTGTAGGCATCGACAGTTGGCATGGATCATTTCATGATTAGGTTGCCTTTTTAAAGCTAAAAGAAAGTTCAATAATACAATATCAGAAACCATCTGTTGCTTGTTTCAATGTGGTATATCAGCCATTTTGTTTTATCATCAGTTTTTCTGAATATGAATTGTTTTTAAAATAGACTACTGTTCTATGCTAGCCTACTGTACTGTTTTATGCTTATAATGGATAGAGACCTTTTTTCATGTTGTGATAGAGATAAAACTGGCTGTGACACAAATTAAATGTAAAACCTTACTATTTTGATAAATGTGGTTTATGAAGTGTACACTTTTATTTTCTCAAATATTCTTTTTAATATTCTTTATTTTTCAATTTAAAAAATGTGTAAATATGGCCCCTGACTTTACTCACAACAGTGCGGCCCTTACCAAGTTTGGATTTGACACCCCTGCTTCAAACAAACAAATTTAGTCATGTTTAACTTAATTACCTTAATTATTTTGTTTAAATTCAGCCTATATGCATTGCTTGGAACCAGTTACCTTAAAAAAAAATGTAGTAAATTCAAAGAATCATTATTTTTAGTGTACTATATGCATAATACAGGCGAAAAGCAAGGATTTTCCTCAAACTTTTCTGAAATGGTTCATCAAAAAATGCGCATTTCACTTGTGAAACATGAAAGAAGACGTTTAGCAGAATGTCTGAGCCACAGTCTTTCATACTGTGAAGGGTAAAAGCATCGTAAAGTAGTTCATACAACATAACACACAGTGTGCTACACTGTAAATAATATCTGCTAATGAACACTTTCTGTATTCACAAGTGTTTTCTGTTTATTTATGGTTGTGAATTGCATTCTGGTCTCTGAATTGCATTGATCTGTGCTCTGTCCATCATTTTTTAATAAAATTATAAAGTTTTACACTCACTTAAAAAAATTCCAATATTAGTTTTGGTAAAAACATGCACTAGTTTTCCATATTAGTTGAAATGTTTGTAAATGTAGAGGCAATGTTTCTTTTACAGATATTATCGAGAATATTCCATATTCTATTCTAAAACATAAAACTACTGAGCTAACACTCTAATCTCACTTTATCTACAGCACTTCTAAGAGGAACAATTATTAATTCATAAAAAATTGTAATTAAAAGACTAACAAATATGTTTCACTTATTTCAACTTCAAAATGATGCATGGCATGGATATACAAGTCATTGTTAGGATCTTTGTTGTCAAGCTTTTGCTTAGGTTACTATTTAAAATTAAGATATTTCTTTTGAAATCTGTAAAATCACTTTGTTATTTATTTAATCGAATAATGTTTCTTTTCCTGTCTGCAAATATTTTTGAGGGAAATTCTGGAAAGAAAGGCAGCATTAGGTCAGATGGTTTCTTGCCATCGCTGAGACCACCAGTGCAGAAGTGTCTATAGTGTATGTGATTGAGTGTGTGTGGATGTTTCTCAGTGATTGGTTGCAGCTGGAAGGGCATCCGCTGCGTAACACATATGCTGGATAAGTTGGCGGTTCATTCCGCTGTGGCGACCGCAGATTCATAAAGGGACTAAGCCAAAAGAAAATGAATGAATGGATAAATATATATATCGCAACAAAACCAAATATAGCAATGTCAGATGTTTCCAATATCATGCAGCCCTACTCAATAGGTTTGTTTTATTCATTTATTTATTTATATTTTAATATTAGGTTCAGTTAACTTGTAGTCCATTTTTTATTATTTCAAACGGTTGCCATGGCAACATAAATAAATTAATGTAGGGTTTGATTTAATTAGATTTATTTTAGATTGGAGAACATTCATTCATTCATTTTGTTGTCGGCTTCCGAGATCGCCACAGCGGAATGAACCGCCAACTTATCCAGCACGTTTTTATTTTTATTTTTACGCTTCCAGCCGCAATCCATCTCTGGGAAACATTCACACACACACAGACACTCATACACTTCTGGCAATTTAGCCTTCCCAATTCACCTGTACCGCATGTCTTTGGACTGTGAGGGAAACCGGAGCAAACCCACGCGAACGCAGGGAGAACATGCAAACTCCACACAGAAACGCCAAATGAGCCGAGGATCGAACCAGCAACCTTCTTGCTGTGAGGCGACAGCACTACCTACTGCGCCCCCATAAATTTTTTTTGTTTTAATTATTAACAGTTTTATTCTTTTATTCTGTTGTTTTTTAACTTTAGTCATTTTTATTTGGTAAACTTATTCGTAAAAGACAGTTTGGGTTGACTAATCTCAAATTTCCATTTTATTTTAATCATTTATAGTTAGTTGTTACTTATTATTTACTAAAGGAAACCTTCATTTGTAGCTGTCAAATAGCAGTTATCATGAGCTCTGTTTCTAAAAGAGCAGCTTGAACACTCTGCTAAACATCTCCTTTTGTGCTTCACCAAAAAAAAGGAGTAAATTTACTGCTCTAAAACTTAGTCATGGACTAGAATCTGTGTTAGACTTTTGTACATATCTTGCAAGAAAATTAACTCTTTTGTTGTGGTCCTCTCCTAACATTCCCTGTCAATATGTGGATAGATCAGGTTGCCATTTTCTTACCCTTGGAAAAACTGACTTACGACTTGAGCCGGAAATCTGATGATTTCTGGCATATCTGGAACCCTCTATGGGAGTTTTTGGAGAATGTATCTTGAAAGACGGACAGTTTTTATTTGAATTAAATTTCTTTTGTGTCAATTTTACCCTTTACAAAAGACCTGAATTACTAGCCGATGGATGATTGTATAGTAGATGGCTATATTATTGTATCTTCTAACATGAGACACCTACACCACTGTTTTGTCATTGTAAATCTTTAAATAAAATAAAAAGGGAGTACATTTAAAGGCAGACATCAAGAATCAGATGGCATCTGTGGATTTTAGATTGCAGAAAGCACTGCTTTTTAGCTCGGCGGTAATGCTTTGTCTAGACAGGTCCAGGTTTTGTTTTTTTCCTCTCTAATCCTGCCTGTATTTTCTGTGTTCGCTGCTCTCTGGACAGTCTGTGCGGAGGCGTACAACCCTGATGAGGATGAAGAGGAGCGAGAGCCGAGGGTAAGAGGACTCTCCAAACCGCAGACGCTGCTTTTGCTCAGTTATTGCTGGCCGGTTTCCCACAATGCTTTGCTGTCTGTGCTCAGGTCACTTACCCCAAAACAGACGAGCAGAGACAGAGACTACAGGAAGCCTGCAAAGACATCCTGCTGTTCAAAAACCTGGACCAGGTCAGATGACTAAGAGATGCTTTTCTACAATTTAGCATCATGTTTGCACTCTAAATATGCTGGGTTGTTGTAATTCAATGTTGGGTCAATTTATTTTGTATTTAAATGACACTTTTTTATATATAAATTGGGGGTGGCAGCACTGTTAGCACTGTTGCCTCACAGCAGGAAGGCCGCTGGTTCGAGTCCCGGCTAGGTCAGTTGGCATTTCTGTGTGGAGTTTGGCATGTTCTGCTCATGTTGGTGTGGGTTTCCTCCGGTTTCCCCCCACAGTCCAAACAGTGCTGTAGGTCAACTGAAGAAACTTAACTGTCCACAGTGTGTGAGTGTGGAAATGAGTGTGTATGGGTGTTTCCCAATACGTAAAATGCTGTTGCAGCTGGAAGGGCATCTGCTGCATAAATCATACTGGAACAGTTGGCGGTACATTCCGCTGTGGTGACCTCTGAAATAAAAACATTAAGAAATAAGAAATAAGCCGAAGGAAAATGAATGAATGAACCCAATGGATGAGTTTGTCCATATTTGACCCAACGTTGGGTTTCGACAACTCAGCATTTTTTTTGCCTAATCATGTGTTTGAAGCAAGCTATTAGAAATTAATTACTTAAATATCTACAATTTTCTAAATATTTTATTTAAGTAATTTTACTTAAAATGACTGTGGTTATAGTAATTTTTTATTTTATTATTGGCTTCATTTCAATAAGCGCTTATTCATTCATTCATTCACTCATTTTCTTGTCGGCTTAGTCCCTTTATCAATCCGGGGTTGCCACAGTGGGATGAACCGCCAACTTATCCAGCAAGTTTTTACACAAGGGATGCCCTTCCAGCTGCAACCCATCTCTGGGAAACATATACACACACATACTCATTCAGTATGGACAATTTTAGCCTATCCAATTCACCTGTACCGCATGTATCTGAACTGTGGGGGAAACCGGAGCACCCAGAGGAAACCCACGCGAACGCTAGGAGAACATGCAAACTCCACACAGAAACACCAACTGAGCCGAGGCTCAAACCAGCGACCCAGCAACCTTCTTGCTGTGAGGCGACACTGCTTCGCCCCTCAATAACCACTTATCACTTTATTTTTCATCTTAATTGTTTTTTTATTTATTATTATTATTATTATTATTTAGATGTAATTTTGTTTTGTTTTTTCATTTTTACATATTTCAGTTTGTATTTCAAATGTCAAAAACATTTTACAATTTTTTTAATACATCTAAATTTATATTGTTATTTAAGCTTTAATTAACATTTTTTAAATAGTTTTGAAATACAATAATTACCTTGTTAATGTTTTTTATAAACATTTCTGCATTTCTTTTTTTTAACATATTTACACGTCTGTGTATTTAACATATTAAATACATATTAAATACATATTAAATTATTTAACATATTTACACGTCTGTGTATTCAATTTAAAATTTTTAGCATGAATTAATTTAGTCAATAAATTTGTTATTAAATATTTTATTGTAGTTAAATATTTTATTGTAATTAAATAATAATTATTGCTATCATTTATTTTAAGCATTTCCCAGAGATGGGTTGCGGCTGGAAGGGCATCCACTGCGTAAAAACCTGCTGGATAAGTTAGCGGTTCATTCCGCTGTGGCGACCTCGAATTAATAAAGGGAATAAGCCGACAAGAAAATGAATGAATGAATGAATGAACCTTTATTTTAAGCAACAAACATATTTAAAGGTTTTTAGTTCGAGTCAGCCTGTAAAAAACCCAAATATATGCAGCAATTCACCTAAAATGTCTTGTTTTTATAAATGACGGACACAATATTTTGCCCACAACACAACAGGAGCAGATGTCTCAGGTGCTGGATGCCATGTTTGAGAAAGTAGTGGTGAGCGGAGAGCACATTATCGACCAGGACGACGACGGCGACAACTTCTACGTCATCGAGAGGTTTGATACTGTACATTCACCTTTATACTGTGACAATACTGCCGTTTAAAGATCTCGTAAAGCGGTTTGAAAAGTGCATTATTATTCGATGTTTGACATTATTTCAACTGATAAATGAAAAGAGGGCGGGGAAGAGTAGCTCCTCCTCTTTTTTAAAAACAGCCAATAGTGTTTTGTTTTTATTACAGCTCTGCCAGTGAGAGTGGTTGAGCTCAAGTGCATCAAATGAAATGCAAACAAGAAGGGGCGGGGCATGTCAGACACTAGAGAGCATTTGATTGGTCAGAAGATTTAATGAGAGACTGATGTATGAGGTGAGGTCAAAAAAATCCAATTAGACTAACTAAAATTACTGAAAAACGAACTGAAATAAAATAGTGAAACAATAACTTTTCAAAATTAATACGTGCTCATTTTTAAGCACTTAATCTGACCTGCGGCTGTTTATAGACGTACCTGTCATGTCAAGTCAACACATCAAAAACATCTTTTCAATATAAACATTTTTCTCTGTCTGCCAAAAATGACAATTAGCCATGTTTAACTACATACATGATTTTTAATATGGAGAAGCTTGTTCGAATCATAGACTGTATAATATATGGACGTAGTGTTCGTGACGTTACCCATAAGGATCTGAACACTGCAAAAGAAGCCACAAGTAGGCGCAGCCAACTGTCGCCATTTTGTTTGCACGTCATTGCACCAACGGCGAGATACCAAACAAGGGCAAAGAGGCGGAGAGTGGGTGGAGCTACAGACACCTGCTGGCATTTTGCTTGGACCTGGTTCAGACACACTTTACTTTGGGAAAACGCTTAATACTTTATATGCATGTGTTTAACTTTATATTAAACACGCTTAATACTTTATCACCTGTGACTCGTTTGTTTTCCGACCTCTTGTGCTTGGTTGTACACTATATCAATAAAGTGTTTAGACTTTTATAAACACTGCTGTAATACATTGAGCCACTAAACATTGTTCTTATGACGTTTTTCTACACGAGGAAAAGCAAATGACTTCCAAACACTTCAGATATAGTCTGTGTTAGTAAATGCAGGACTACTGATGAAATCCAGCATAACACTGTATGACAACGCTTCAGATGACTGTTTTAGAGCCTACAGCTAATCAATCTGACAGATTCTGGAGTGCTTTACAGGTCTAAAGAACATTATAAATAATAAATGATCTTAAATAAAACAAATACATTTATAGAGATGGTATAAAAGTATATAACTTTACTCACCTGGGAAAAGGAGGCCACGTGAATGGGTTGTGAGCACAATTAAGTGCACACAGCATGACATATCATCTGATAATTGTAAAAAATAATCCCGAAAGAGAACTGACTGTGTAAAGCCACATAAAACAAAACAAAAATACGATGTATATGCCGAGTTCAGCAGCTAATCAGCCGGAATCAGCTGAGGTGAAGTGACGGCGACCAGCGAGACCTAGCTGTCACTCAAGTGGCCACGCCCTTAATTATGCAGACTTAATATAACTTAATATAAAGGAAACGGATGAGTTTTTAAAAAATTCACCCCTTCACAGTTGTCATGAAGGGTGATATTAGCTGTATGAACCAAAATCGTTCTTTGTACCAGGCTGTACACACCTTTTTTTCTGCTGTAATGTTGGCCATTCTGACAGTGGGCTCAATAGAAATTTGCTCCTTATGCATCCAGGACTAGCGAATTTTCGATGAATTTCAGTTTCAGATACTTCTGTATTGGCTTCCCGAAGGAGAGCGGGAGGTTCAAATTCTTTATCATTTTTACTTTTTATTATAGTTTAAAGCTGCATTTATGTGGTTTAGTGTTCAAAGAATTACTTATTTTTAGTACTAAGAGGTTTGCACAAGAGTTTAAACTTTGCTTTGGTCGACGCTGAATGTTTTCTGTTACCTCTGATGAACCTAAAACTGAAACTAAATATATAAAAGCTAAACAGAAATGTGTTCACACAATAAAAACTAAAGTAAAACTAACAAAACCTTTAATGAAACAAACTAAATTTACACTAAAATGTTAAAAATTGAATTAAAATAAGAACTAATTTGAAAATGCAAACCAATAGTAACCTTGGTTTGCTCTGTAGACAATCGAAATAAATATTGCTTAGGGAGGCTAATAATATTGGCCTTAAAATGGTGTTTAAAAATTTAAAAACTGCTTTTAATCTAGCTGAAATAAAACAAATCAGACTTCCTCCAGAAGAAAAAATATTATAGGAAATACTGTGAAAAATGCCTGAATCTGTTAAACATCATGTGGGAAATATTTGGAAAAGAAAAAACTATTCACAGGAGGGCGAATAATTCTGACTTCAACTGTATGCCAGGGTAGTAGGCGGTTCATTCCGCTGTGGTGACCCCTGTTAGATCAGGTACTAAGCCGAAGAAAAATTAATGAATAAATAACCTTGGTTTGTCACGCAGGGGGATGTTTGAGATCCTGCTGAAAGCGGACGGCACTACGCGGACCGTGGGCTCATATGACAACCGTGGCAGTTTCGGAGAGCTGGCCCTGATGTACAACACGCCGAGGGCCGCAACCATCATCGCTACCTCACCCGGAGCCCTGTGGTGCCTCGTGAGTAAAGCTGAAAACAGAACACAAATTACTTGATGATCTGAACGTCTAAAATAGCTTAAAAGAGCTTAAGGAAGCTAGAAAAAGTCAATAAAGTAGCATTAGCACATGGGTAACATGTCTTAAGATGGTTTTAGCTTGAATTAGCATGTGTTTAGCGTGGTTAGCGTTGCTAAAATAAACCAGCTATGCATTTTAACATGTTTAACCATTTGTTAGCATGAACATTTTAAAACAATTTGGCAGTATTAATTGTTTAGACTTGAATTGAATTGTTGCTAGCATGGTTAACGAATTGTTAGTATAAATCACAAACATGCATATGCCTAGCATGTTTAGCTTTGAATGACCCTGTTAGCTTGTGTTTATCATTGTTAACAGATCATTAGTATAGATCACAAACATGTTTTAACATATGGCTATCCTAATGAGCTTTCTGTTAGCATGATCATGTTAACAAATTGTTGGTACAAATATTTTTTAAGACATGGCTAACATGCTTGTTTACATGTTTGGCTTTGAATTAACATGTTAGGGTGTGCTTATAATTATTTAACACTGTTAGTCTAAAATTGCAAACATGTTTTAACATGGCTAACATGTTTAGCTTAGAAATTAACATGTTGTTAGCACGCGTTTAGCATGGTTAGCATTGCTAAAATAAATCAGGAACGTATTAACACATTTAACCATTTGTTAGCATGAACGTAATTTTAAAATCTTTAACAATTTGGCAGTATTAATTGTTTAGACTTGAATTGTTGTTAGCAAGGTTAACGAATTGTTAGCATAAATCACAAACATGCATATGGCTAACATGTTTAGCTTTGAATGACCTTGTTAGCTTGTGTTTAACATTGTTAACATATCGTTAGTGTAAATCACAAACATGTTTTAACATATGGCTATCCTAATGAGCTTTCTGGTAGCATGATCATGTTAACAAATTGTTAGCACAAATATTTTTTAAGATATAGCTAACATGTTCGGCTCTGAATTAACATGCTAGCGTGTGTTTAACATTAACACTGTTAGTCTAAAATTGCAAAGACGTTTTTACATGGCTAACATATTTGGCTTAGAACTAACATGCTGTTAGCATGTGTTTATCATAGTTAACATTGTTTGTATAAATCGCAAACATGTTTAACATATGGATAACATTTTAGCTTGAATTTGCATGTTGTCTATAAAACATGAATATATTTTGACACATGGTAACATGTTTACTATGTTGCCATCATGAGCATGATTTTTAACATTTTTAACAATTTACTATTATTATTTAACTTTTTAGCATGTTGTTAGCATGGTTAACACATTCGTTATTTGTGTGTTTGTAACATGTTTAATATGTTGTTAGCATTAAAATGCTATACGTTTCTAACATTGGTAACATTTATTAGCTAGTTCATACCACATCTCTAGCAAGTAATCATGTGCTTTATTGTGTTTAATGTAACCTCTTGCAAGCAGCTTATAAGGTTTAAGTATGTTGCTATATGTTTTGAACTCTCAACATGTTTTAGCATGGTTTACTGATTGAGCATGATGCTAACATGTTGTTGTCTGGAATTAGCATGTTTTGACACATGGCTTACATGTTTAAATACAGTTAAACACATATATAACATGTTTTAGCACTGATGGCTAATATTTTTAATGTCACTAAAAGCGACGACCCTGCTGAAAAATCCAGCTTAAACCAGCCTAGGCTGGTTGGCTGGTTTTAGCTGGTCGGCCATGCTGGTTTTAGATGGGGTTTTGGCCACTTCCAAGCTGGTTTCCAGCCATTTCCAGCCTAGTCTTAGCTGGTCAGCCATTTCCAGCCTGGTCTCCAGCCATTTCCAGCCTGGTCTTAGCTGGTCAGGCTGGGAGATGACCAGCTAAAACCAGCTTGATCACCCTAGCCAAGCTGGGAGTCCAGCCAAAACCAGCTATATCCAGCTTAAACCAGGCTGGTCAAGCCTGGTTTTAGCTGGATTTGGCTGGTCATTTTCCAGCCTGACCAGCTAAGACCAGGCTGGGAATGGCTGGAAACCAGCCTGGAAATGGCCAAAATCCCTCTAAAACCAGGCTGGTCAACCAGCTAAAACCAGCCAACCAGCCTAGGCTGGTTTAAGCTGGATTTTTCAGCAGGGATGACAGAAGAGAATTGAAAAGTGTTTTGATTAACTCAGTAGGGAAATCTTATGCTAAATTTCTTCCCTCATTTTGCATGTTGTTGATGTTAGAGCGACCTCTACAGGTCATAGAAAGTACTGTAATTCCTGTTCCATAATGGCTACAGGCCTTTATGAAGAATATGAAAATATTATTGATTGAATATCTGTAGGATCGATTGACATTCAGAAGGATCATCGTAAAGAACAACGCGAAGAAAAGGAAAATGTACGAGGCCTTCATCGGGACGCTTCCACTGCTCACGTCACTGGAGGTCTGAACACACACACTTCATTTTTACTTGATTATTTGATGGTTGTTTGTTCTTCCGCTAGTTGATTTCATAAATAAAAGCGCTCTTGTTGTTTAGGTTTCAGAGAGAATGAAGGTTGTTGATGTCTTGTCGACCAAAGTGTACAATGGCGGGGAACAGATCATTGCTCAGGTTAGAATTATCTCGACACCAGTGTTTTTATTTCACAAAACATGTTGGTTTTTGGTGGCAGCGTGACTCAGTAGTTAGCACTGTCGCCTCACAGCAAGAAGGTTGCTGGTTCGAGTCCCAGCTGAGTCAGATGGCATTACCATGTGGAGTTTGCATGTTCTCCCCGTGTTGCCATGGGCTTCCACGGGGTGCTTCGGTTTCCCCCACAGCCCAAACACATCTGCTATAGGTGAACTGAATAAACTAAATTAGCCGTAGTGTATGAGTGTGTGTAAATGCAAGAGTGTATGGTGTTTCCCAGTTCTGGGTTGTGGCTGAAAGAATATCGGCAGTGTAAAACATTTGCTGGAAAAGTTGGCGGTCCATTCAACATTATTTCCAGCATTCTTCAAAATATCTTCTTTTGTGTTCAACTGAAGAAAGAGGTTCACTTGAGAGCTTGTAAAAGCTGAGGAAATGTTCATTTTTGGGTGAACAACCCCTTTAATATTTAAGTATTTTGTTTTCACAGGGGGATTTGGCGGATTGCTTCTACATCGTGGAGTCGGGACATGTTAGAATCACTATGAAGAGGAGCAAGGTGGTTCACAAGCACAATTCTACTCATTGTACATCCTAATAAATCAATAAATCACCCATTTACCAGAAAATCCACTCTCTTTTAGTCAAAAAACGACACTGAAGACGAGGAAGTGGAAATCGCCACATGCTCACGTGGGCAGTATTTCGGAGAATTGGCTCTCGTCACCAACAAACCACGAGCGGCTTCAGCGTACGCCATGGACAGCGTCAAATGCTTAGGTAATGCATTATTATTATGATTAAATGATGTTTTACCACTCAGAAAGGTTTGTCTATCAAATCAAATCAATTCTATGAATTAAAAAAAGAAGGTCGCTGGTTCGAGTCCCGGCTGGGTCAGTTGGCGTTTCTGTGTGGAGTTTGCTTGTTCTCCCCGTGTTGGTGTGGGTTTCCACCGGGGTGCTCCGATTTCCCCCACAAGTCCAAACACATGCGCTATAGGGGAACTGAATGAACTAAGTTGGCCGTAATGTATGTGTGTAAATGAGTGTGTAGGGATGTTTCCCATTACTGGGTTGCAGCTGAAAGGGCATCCACTGGTGTAAAACATATGCTGGATAAGTTGGCAGAAAACTAAGCCGAAGGAATGAATGAATGAATAAATAAGAAGTATGTGTATTTGGGAATATACATAACATTATGTAAGTTGCAAAAGTACAATGAATATTTGGATATCCCTTTAACAATTAGGAAAATTAAATTAAACACATAAAAAAAAACACCCCCACCCACTTTGTATACTTCTTTCAAAACATTTTGTCACCTTAGAATTATAAGGTTCTGTCTGACATTTTTGTCAAAATTGAGTTATTGACATATTCTTATTAAATGACAACTTATTTACATTAAAGGATGTTTTTTTTATAAGTTGTTTACATTTTAAGTTTATGTTACACACACACTGTTTGCTTTATGGCATGCAAAAACTTTGAAGCTCAACATCTCAAAATCATCCAGAACACAGATTGAACCTTATAACTCCAACGTGATGACTTGTCAAATTGATATTAAATAAAGGTAGAGTGTAATTTAGTAATATACTAAAGCACAAAACCTGCTTTATGTTGCACGGGTATATTTCAATGTATTAAAAATAATTGGTCAAAATGATACACACTTCCTGACAAAGGTCGTGGACCCCAGTTGTAGGAGCAACAAATAACAACTTGACTTACAGTTGATCGTTAGGAAAAGTGTCAGAAGGTGGATTTTTCTGCTGAATCATCTGTTGAGCTGCATCCCAATCATCACCAATACTGCAGAAGACCTACTGGAACCAGCATGGACACAAGATTCTCACAGAAATCACTCAAGTCTGTTAAAGGTAAATTCATGGTTTGGGCTTACATTCAGTATAGGGGCGTGCAGGAGATGGATGAAGTGGATGGCAGCATCAACAACCTGAGGTATCAGGACATTTGTGCTCCCCATTACATTACAAACCACAGGAGAGGGACAATTCTCCAGCAGGATAGCGCTCCTTCTCATACTTCAGCCTCCACATCAAAGCTCCTGAAAGCAAAGAAGGTCAAGGTGATGCAGGATTGGCCAGCCCAATCACCAGACATGAACATTATTGAGCATGTCTGGGGTAAGATGAAGGAGGAGGCATTGAAGATGAATCCAAAGCATCTTGATAAACTCCGGGAGTCCTGCAGGAACGCTTTCTTTGCCATTCCAGATTACTTTATTAATCATTGATTTGAGTCATGTCAGAGATGTATGGATGCAGTCCTCCAAGCTCATGATGGAGTCTGACACAATATTCCTTCTGTCTCCACTGCAGCAGGACTTTATGTTCTATACTGGACATTATTTCTGTTCAGTGAAGAAATTTTAGTCTAAGCAAAGTCAGACCTTACTGTCCTGATTGAATCATTTAAAATCAAGGCATGATCATATTTTATTGGGGTAAAATAAGCGTAATCTAGAGGCCTTTACTTTTCATATGAGCCACTTCTGATACCAAACGATCAACTAGAAGTCAAGTTATTATTTGTTGTTCCTAAAACTTGAATAGGCGACAAGACTTTTGTCAGGTAGTGTATATTTTTATGCCAAAATTCATTATATTAAGTAACAATCACGTTAAATGTAGACAATTTGTAAATTTCCTACAGTAAACAGATGAATAGGCTCACTCACTTACATCTGTATACCCAACCAATTGTGTTATATTCGTTTAGAGACTAAATGTGTTTTGTCAATTTTATTAAATGGGAAAATGGCTCTTTAGGAAGGCCAAAATTGACGGAAAAATGTATGTTTTTAAATGAACTAAATTAGTGTGGACATTTACACTGCATGTCTAATTGACTTTGTGTTTTGCAGTAATGGACGTGCAGGCGTTCGAGAGGTTATTAGGCCCCTGCATGGACATCATGAAACGAAACATTGCGAATTACGAAGAGCAGCTGATCACGCTCTTCGGGAGTCAAATCGCAATCGAGGAGCCGAATGCATGAAATCAGTTAATCAATAAAACGTCGCAAACTTTAAAATGCAAACATGAAACGACGACAATATGGTAAGTAGAGGCCCGTCATCATGGTCAAGAAAACCGTGTTCACTTATAGGTCATCAGCTTGAAGTTATTGTTTTGCATTCACAGATGTGAAACTCCGGTGTGTGTGTCAATGATCATGAATTTTTTAGCTGTGAAAAAAAGCCAAAATGTGAGCGTTTGCCTTCGGGGTGTATGTGCAGGGTTTGGTTATGGTGGTTCGGTTTGGGGATTTGGTATTGGTGTGTTTATCCAAATCGTTCTTTTTTTAACATGTTTGTTTCTTCACATGCTGTGTCTTTTACAGCGGCGTCCGCATAAAGACTGTGTTTTTGGGCCATATATGGCAGGGTGATATGTTAATTTATTCTTTAATTCACTTTTAATCTTTCTGCATTTGGAGATTTGTCAATGTTTTCAGTGTTACGCGAGTCATTTTTACTCCTAGCCATTTTTGAATACACTAAAATTATTGATGAAGAGCTCTGTCTAAACTGCATCTTGATAACACCGGTCTGCTACACTAAAAATATGTTAAAGCAACTTATGGATCATTCACTTCAAGACAAATCATTTTACAGATTAAAGTCAACATGAAAACAAATTATGAACTTTTGATGACTCCGATTTGTTTCCAAAATTTAATAAAACAGGTGATTAATTGCGCCTTATCAAAATTGAGATTTTTCTTGTAATCCTTTATGGAGCGGCACGGTGGCTCAGTGGTTAGCAACGTCGCATCACAGCAAGAAGGTAGCTGGTTTGAGTCCTGCCTAGACCAGTTGTCATTTCTGTGTGGAGTTTGCATGTTCTCCCCGTGTTGGCATGGGTTTCATCCAAGTCCTCCAGTTTCCCCACAGTCCAAACACATGCGCTATAGGTGAATTGAATAAGCTAAATTGTCTGTAGTGTGTGAGTGCCTGTGTGAATGATTGTGTGTATGGGTGTTTTCTAGTACTGGGTTGTGGCTGGAAGGGCATCCGCTGTGTAGAACATATGCTGGAGTAGTTCACTCACCCCCCTAAACCTCACTCCCATCCCGGACGAGCCCCCATGTGTAACCCACTATTCCTACTGCACCCAACCCACGCTAAGCTAGGATCGAATCTGTGATTCTTTGCATGGGAGTCAATTGCTCCAACAAGGAGACTAAAGACCATGGTCACTAGCGTCTGTCGCTAGATCACCTTTTGATGTCAGAGGAGTGAGGTTTACCTGCATAGAACTTCACTAGTTGGTCTACACTCACCCCCCTAAACCTCACTCCCATCCCGGACGAGCCCCCGCATGTAACCCACCTGCATAGCTTTTCACTAGCTGGTCTCTGTTACACTCACACCTCTAAACCTCACTTTTATTCCGGACGAGCCCCCGCATGTAACCCACCTGCATAGCTTTTCACTAGCTGGTCTTCATTACACTTACCCCCCTAAACCTCACTCCCATCCTGGACGAACCCCCACGTATAAGCCACCTGCATAGATTTTCACTAGCTGGTCTGTTACACTCATGCCTCTAAACCTCACGTTTATCCAGGACGAGCCCCCGCATGTAACCCATCTGCATAGCACTTCGTAGCTGGTTTCCAATACACTCACCCCCCTAAACCTCACTCCCACCCTGGACGAGCCCCCACATGTAACCTAACTGTATAGCACTTCGCTTGATGATCTCTATTACACTCACCCCACTAAACTTCACTTCCATCCCGGACGAGCCCCCATGTGTAACCCACTAGTCCTACTGCACCCAACCCGTGCTAAGCTAGGATCGAACCTGCGATTCTTTGCATGGGAGTCGATTGCTCCAACAAGGAGGCTAAAGACCATGGCCACTAGCGTCTGTCGCTAGATCACCTTTTGAAGTCAGAGGAGTGAGGTTTACCTGCATAGAACTTTACTAGCTGGTCTACACTTACCCCCCTAACCTCACTCCCATCCTGGACAAGCCCCTGCATGTAACCCACCTGCATAGCACTTCACTAGCTGGTCTTCATTACACTTACCCCCCTAAACCTCACTCCCATCCTGGACGAACCCCTACGTATAACCCACCTGCATAGATTTTCACTAGCTGGTCTCTGTTACACTCCTGTCTCTAAACCTCACTTTTATCCCGGACGAGCCCCCACGTGTAACCCATCTGCATAGCACTTTGTAGCTGGTTTCCATTACACTCACCCCCCTAAAACTCACTCCCACCCTGGATAAGCCCCCACATGTAACCCAACTGTATAGCACTTCGTAGCTGGTTTCCATTACACTCACCCCCCTAAACCTCAATCCCATCCCAGACGAGCCCCCACATGTAACCCAACTATAAAGCACTTCGCTTGATGGTCTCTAATACACTTACTCCCCTAAACCTCACTCCCATCCTGGACGAGAACCACATGTAACCCAACTACATAGCACTTCGCTAGCTGGTCTCCGTTATAATCACCCTCAAAAATCTCACTCTTATCCCGGACGAGCCCCCGCGTGTATCCCACCAGTCCTTCCGTTATGCAAAATTGAGAAATATAAACAGAATTGAGACAAATTGACACAGAATTACTAGAAAGTGTGAAAATGTTTAAAGAATTGTTAGAAAAAAAGAAACGTTAAGCCTATAAACTCACAAATTCGAGTTGCAGATCAGAAAAATAAGAAAAAGTCAGAATTATGAACTAAAATTAGCAAGTTTTTCATTATGGTCTCATTCATAAAAAGAAATTGGTTTCTATAGAAGCACTTGTTTTTAGATGATGATTCATTATCCAATCAGTTCTGGTGGTTAAAATCAGACCCTGCCAATTATTTACTTATTCAATAAAACACATACATAAGTATCAGGAGTGAAATGGTTTGTGGTTTCATGTTGACTTTAACCCTTCATTACACTTCGATGAGGTATCTGCCTGGGAACACAATAAGAGAAATGACAAAGAGACTCAATGATGTGAAGAAATTTTGAATATTATTGCACTTTGATGCCAATGTAATGAAAAAAAACACCTCACCTATACGTTTTCAGTCTTTTAAAGAAGCTCCTCACTTCTGTCACACATGAATAGCCATTGTGTATCTTTACTTTTAATAGTGTAGCATATTTTGATGATTTGTTCACATCTTCAGTGCTTTTTATTAAAACAAAAGTATTTCACGTTGAATTCAGATATATTCAACATGCACAAAGAGTCTTTATTTTATAGATGCTTAAAATGTACCAAGAGTGTGTGCTATATCTGCAGAAGTCTGAATGATTCCTCTTTATTCATGTGTATATATTTTTTTGAGTTGGTTTCTGTTTATGTTTGATTTGTTTTAGGTAGCTTTCTGCATTTTGATAAAGTTCTTCAGAGCACTTGCTTTATTCCTAATTTCTGCAGTATTTGGACAGTTTTCTTTTCTCTTGATATGTGAAGAGTTTGTCCTTGTTGATTGGATCTTTTTGCTTGACAGAAAGAATCATACGTAGTATCCATTTCTTCCTAAAACACCACTAAAGATAAATCATTACTGTCTACCTCTAATATGAACAGCTTAGCCATCGTCACCATGTAGATCCCACTGGTTTATCTGTCGGTAAACTAGCCTGTAGTGAATCCCTAAACCATATCTGTGTGCAAGTGTAACTTTACACCATTTCTACCCTGTTCACTGGGAGAAAAAAAAAAGACTTTTAATTGCCAATCAGTGCTCATTTCTGTGTGAATTTCTGTCGCTGAATTGAGAAGTCGCTAATGCTTTTTATGTCCTGAAAAATGGATTAAAGGTCTACAGTCTCTTGGTGCAAGAGAGCCCAGTATTATACTGTCAGTTATATTTGACTTTCCATTCAAATAAAGAACAATTTTGTATTTAAATCGTGTTTTTTTATGACTAAATGTGATCATTTCATTACTATGCAAACAACAAAACCGAGTATAATCTTCAAATAAACTATCTTATGTAATATTTTCCAATAATGGTCACTTGTTCCAATAATATTGTAGATTTAAAGAGACGTTTCGCTATTATTCACCTCACATAAGCTTTGTATTTCTACTAAGCATCATTGTTTGACTCATTTAGGATGAATCACAAGTTGTATTCCTCATTTTGAAGTCCCTTAGGCTATAAAGGACTGCTAAATGTTTAGCTGTAATGTTATCTACTGATGTTGTTTGGTGTTTGTTTACAACGTCTTAAGACAATGCATATCTCAAATCCTCTATTTAACAAAGGAGGAGGGTTTTTCTTAAAAAAACGAAGCTTTGACCAATGAAAATCGCCACTGATGTAACGGGCACGAAGAACTGGCCAATCACAAACACAATAACAAACCATCCATGTCTAGCCCAATGTTCCAGCGATTATCCAATCGCGCGTCGAGCTCACCAGACTGACGTGCGCCCCAACCAATAGGAGGCCAGATCTAAAAGTAATCAGTCCTGCCTTCGCTGAGAATGCCAGAGATACTCGGTAATGGCGACAGGTTTGGTAAGTAAAAAAGTTGTTGAAATATTACAACGAAATGAAACAGTAAAGTCAATGAGCTAAATTTTCTGCGACTATTTTAGACGGCGACGGTTTCGACCGCGAGGAGAAAAAAGACTGTCATTCATTATTTCGATTGCAAATCGCAACTTTATTCTTGATGTTTTTTCTCTCTGTGACGTTTGTTGTTTTCCTTGTGGTTTAGTAATGCAGTACCTCTCCATAGAGGCAATAATTAAACTAAACCATTGTCTTTTTTCAATAAAGCCCCGAAGGAAACAGGGTCTCCATTCATTGCAGTGGGGGAAAAGGAAGGACTTAATGTACCATGTCTCAACTTGTTGACATTCTTTTGTTTACAGCTCGCACCGTGGACATCTGAGTTCAGTTTTAAGCATTTAATGACATGGATTGAACATCTGACAGCTGGATAGCTTATATAAGGCATGTTTTTATGAAATGCTCAAGTTGTTAAGTAATTTTGGGCGATTTTTTTTAAACAAAGACCTTCGTATTGTTGCAACAGCCGTGTTGAAGTTATTGTTCTCGTGCTGTGCTGATAAAGCGACATTATTTGTGCTAACATCTCAATAATAAACTAAAACACATACGCGCTTTAGTCTATCTTGTTCCGCGTTTATTCGCGAAAGCAGAAAAATCTTATTTTCTTCCTGTGTGAAAAACTGAAACCGTCGAGTGAATAAAATGTCTTTGAATAAAGCTTACAATTAATTAAAACGGACATATTTTTGATTGAATCGAACGGGGAGACTTCAATCTGTGATTTTCAAAACTTATGATTAATTTTATAGCGCAATCTATCGCTGTTATTGATCTCCCGTTGTTACGCAGTTATGAATGAATGAGCTGCGCTGCGCATGCGCGAAGTCCAGAAAAAGTTTATAAACAAGCCTTGCGTGCAATGTAGGTCACGTGACCGCGCTTTACAAAATCGGGCGCAGTGTGTCCGCAACAAACAAAACGCGTTATTAAACATGACGAATCTAGGATTCACGTCTTTTAAATGCCTCTCAGTTGATTTTACATGAATCTTCAAGCGCTCAACGTGACCTAACAGCAGTAAAGAACATATTGCGCAACACCCAGCAGAACAAGCTGTGATGTTCCAGAGTGTTTTTTTCCCTCTGCTCTCCTGCATGCATTCATTCATTCTTTCGTTTCATTCATTCAAAACCGACCCCAAATAAAAACCAGCATGTAAGCCATTTTGGAAACCACCTACCCGTTTTGCTTTCACTTTGAGCTGCTCTCTTGTGTTTTGCAGCCAGCCCAGCTGACATGTCATAATATGGTGTGGGAAGTGAAAAGTCAGTCTGTCCCTCAGAGAGTTCAGGAAGTCCAGGCTCAGAGCTCAGGTATGGACGAGGCCTTTGACCTGCTCAAGTGCAATGAGCACCTGCCCTCTTCACCCGGCTGCCCTGCTAAGGAGAGCCAAATGGAGTATGGTAATGAGCTATACATTTTGATAAACATACATCTGATAAAAAAATAAATAAAAATTCAAGTGCAAACATTTTCTAATACTTATTGGAATCATATTAGTCTACTAGATAATTGATGTTATCGATTCCAAATTGCATGATGAAAAATGTAGTAATTACATAATGCATTTTAGATGTAATCGGATTACTTTTAGATTACTTTTGCAAATGCAATTAAAACATGCCTAAAATGTCATTTAAAATGCAAATCCCTCTAATAAATTAGTCTACTTAAAAATTGAAGCATCTTTTTGATTCCAAATTGCATCATAAAAAATGTAGTAATTATGCATTTTAGGTGTAATCGAATCCCTTTTAGACTACATTTGTAAATGCATTGAAAACGCATTAAAATACTCTTTAAAATGAATATTCATCTAATAAATATGCCTACTTAAACATTTAAGTATGTTACCGATTCCAAATTGCATGATAAATATAGTAATTACATAATGCATTTTAGATGTAATCGGATTACTTTTAGATTACTTTTGCAAATGCAATGAAAACATGCATATAAATATTCTTTAAAATTAACTGTCATCTAATACATGAATCTACTTACAAGTTTTATTATCTTAATGAATCCGAATTACAAGGTAAAAAAAATAATTACATTGTGCATTTCATGTGTAATCTGATTACTTTTAAATTACTTTTGTAAATGTAAAAACATGCATAAAAATATCCTTCAAAATTAACAGTGATCGAATATAGATTAGTCTAAGCATGTAACTGATTCCAAATTACATAATAAAAAATGTAGTAATTGTGCATTTTAGGTGTAATCCGATTACCTTTTCTTCTACCACATTCTTCTAATAAATTAGTCTACTTAAAATTGAAGCATGTTACTGATTCCAAATTGCTTCATAAAAAATGTAGTGATTATGCATTTAGGTAATTATGCATTTTAGGTGTAATGGGATTACTTTTGTAAAACATGCATAAGAATATCCTTTAAAATGAATATTTATCTAATAAATAAGTCTAATTAAACATTGAAGTATGTTGCTGATTCCAAATTGCATCATGAAAAATGTAGTAATTACTTTATGCATTTTAGGTGTAATCGGATTACTTTTAGATTACTTTTGCAAATGTAATGAAAACATGCATAAGAATATCCTTCAAAATTAACAGTCATCTTATATAGATTAGTCTGCTTAAATTAAGCATGTAACTGATTCCAAATTACATCATGAAAAATGTAGTAATTACGCATTTTAGGTGTAATCTAATTACTTTTAGATTACTTTTGTTAATGCAATGAAAACATGCTTAAAAATTTTCTTTAAAATGCACATTCTTCTAATAAATTAGTCTACTTAAAAATTGAAGCATGGTACCGATTCCAAATTGCATCATAGAAAATGTAGTAATAATGCATTTAGGTAATTATGCATTTCAGGTGTAATCGGATTACTTTTAGATTACTTTTGTAAGTGCATTGAAAACATGCATTAAAATATTATTTAAAATGAATATTCATCTAATAAATATGACCACTTAAACATTTAAGTATGTTACTGATTCCAAATTACATGAAAAATATAGTAATTCCATAATGCATTTTAGATGTAATCGGATTACTTTTAGTTTACTAATGTGATAAAAACATGCATAAGAATATCCTTCAAAATTAACAGTGAGATCTAAAACAAATTAAGCATTTAACTGATTCCAAATTGCATCATGAAAAATGTAGTAATTACGCATCTGAGGTTTAATCTAATTACCTTCAGATTACTTTTGAAAATGCATGAAAACATGCATGAAAATATCATTTAAAATTAAGTCATCTAATACAGATTAGTCTGCTTAAAAATGTAAGCATTTTACGGATTCAAAATTACGATAAAACTGTAGTAATTACATTATGCATTTTAAGTGTAATCAGATAACTTTTAGATTACTTTTGTAAATGAAATGAAAACATGCTTAAAATATCCTTTAAAAGTAAGTCATCTAATACAAATAAAGCAGCAAAAGGGTAAGAACTACTGTATATAGAGTATATATAGATATATGTTATAGAAAGCATGCAGGGTATTTTTGCATCTGCCTGAAAACTAACAGGTAAGGGGTTCTGTAGGGCAGAATAACATTATATAAAGCACAAAAAAGGCTGCCATCTTGGTTACACGTGTGTCAATATTTTGGTATTAGCAATTTTTTTTTAAAGTAAAACATGAATAAATCAGTCTAAAATCTCATGCTATGAAAGATGAATTGCAGGCCTCGGCTTATTCAAGCAATGCTATTATAAACTACAAACAGTTTGCTCACTCTCTCTTCACCTCAAATACATAAAACATGACCCTTTATTAACACCATACTTGTTGAAACCACCAGTTCTTCATTTACCTTTGTAAAGATCATTGTTTAATAAAGATTTTTTAAAATCATTTTAATAAAAAAAAGTGAATTTTCACCAAAAGATGAAGAGTTTGAATATAGTGCCTGAATAATATGTTGTTGCCTTAAAGAATAATGTATGTTTGTTGAATGTATAGTAGATTAATCAGACCAATAAGACACTATTCGCTATAAATCTTCTTCTTTTATACACATGAGCTGTTAAAACTATATGTATACACCAGATTAGAGATCAGGTAACTACCATGTAGAAAGGCACATATTAGAACAGCGGTCACCAAACTTGTTCCTGGAGGGCCGGTGTCCTGCAGATTTTAGCTCCAACCCTAATCAAACACACCTGAACAAGCTAATCAAGGTCTCACTAGGTATACTTAAAACATCCAGGCAGGTGTGTTGAAGCAAGTTGGAGCTAAACCCTGCAGGGACACCGGCCCTCCAGGACCAGGATTGGTGACCCCTGTATTAGAACATATTAATATAAAGTGGGATCCCAAATTAGTTTTGTTTTTAAACTGAAATAAGCAGCAATGAACGAATATAAACAGTACAGTATTTTCAGTAACACTTTAGGTTAAAGTAACAATTCTTACTATTAACTAATGGCTTATTGACTGACTATTAAGATATGAACGGTTTATTAGAAAGAAAGCACTGATAAAGTATGATCTTATTCTACATCCCTGATCTGACCAATACCTAAACCCAATGACTACCTTAATCACTATTTATAAGCAGCAAATTAGGGGTTTATTGAAGCAGAAGTCATAGTTAATAGCTTATTAATAGTGAGATAAGCACTTTAAAATGACTATAGTTCACCAACTGCATCTAAAAAAACACTGCGCTCACTTGTGCGGTGCTTCCTAATGGTCAAATATGTCCATCAAGCACGTGTTTACTTTGAAAAACAATAGGAAAGGAGCACATTGGAAAGGAAAAACGCATTATATTATATGTGTAAACAGCCCCTAACTTACTTTTGCCTCACAGATGACCTGCCTGAGCTGCAGGAGGTGCAGGATGACCAGTTGGCCCCCGGCGTGTTCCAGGTGGCTCCAGGTGTGTCTCATCACGAGGAAGGGCCCGGCAGTGACTCGCACACAAACTGGCTGACCGAACTGGCCAACATCGCCACCAGCCCCCAAAGCCCCCTGCTCCAGAACGCCCCTCACACCCGGTCAGCACATCCTATACAGCTGCACACTAATATAGATCCTAAATTGTGTACTGTGAAACAACTTTTCATCAGTGTTGTTGTTATTTGTGTATAATATTTGTACAATTAAATACAATAGTGTATTATATCTAAATGTAAATGGACATTTTCTCAAAAATGTGCATGCATGTGTGTATTTATATATACATAATAAATATAAGCAGTACACACATGCTTAAATTACTGACATATGTACTGTACTATATTAATACCGACGATGTACTGTCATCATTACAGGTCTTCTCCTGTCCACATCTTCTCCAGCAGTAGCAGTTTACATTCCTATGCTAGGCCTCCTCTGTCTTCCAGCAGCGCCCCCAGCCCTGCCCGCAGCCACATGAGAGAACGCCGCCGCACACGGGTACACACACAAACGAATACTGTCACAAACGAATACCTGACTGTCATTTTATAAAAGGGTTAAGATGTTTCAGGAGAGTTGTGGTCTTAAAATTTGCTTCCATTTGATATTAAAAGTAATTAACTACCACATACTTACATCAAAATATAAATACAATGTACTTACTGTGATTATAATGCATTGCAGTGGGATATGGGAAGAGTTTGAACCTAGTTTGGTGGTATGGGGAGGTTTAAGGTGTAAGGGATGGTAAACGATGTAAATCTAAATGTAATTAAAGAAATTAATTACATATGTGAATACATGCAGGAATTCAATCAAGCATAAGTACAATGTATTTACACAATAACCAATTATTATCTAAGTACATATTAGTTAAGGCTACTTAAAATAAAGTTGGACCCCAAATTAGTTTTTTTTTTTTACTGAAATGAGAATTTTACTGGAATGAAAGAATACAAACATATTTTCAGCAACACCTTAGTTTAAGTAACAATCCTTACTATTAACTACTAACTTATTACCTGACTATTATTAAGATATGAACTGTTTATTAGAAAGAAAGTACTGATAAAGTATGATCTTATTCTACATACCTGATCCGACCAATACCTAAACCCAACAACTACCTTAATAACTATTTTTAACCAGCAAATTAGGAGCTTATTGAAGCAAAAGTCATAGTTAATAGTTTATTAATAGAGAGGATAGTACTTATAATAAAGTATGACCTTAATGTTTATTAATCTACTAATGAAAAATGTTTGTTTTTTTAACTGAAATAAGCTGAAATTAAAGAATATATACATATTATGTAACCCTTGTGCATCAATTTTTAAAAAAAGTCCTATACACATAGGTCGCTTTTTATACTTTCACCGACCACATATTTTACCTGTACTACTAAAAAACTACAACAAAACAAACATTCATATTAAGGATTTCAACTATTTTAATTCAGTCTGTTTACATAATGCAATTGTGTTGATGTTTAGTATAATTATAATGTATATATATATATAATTATAGTAATGAATCTTCCATGGCAAAAAGCCAGATTTCCAAGATGTAAACCAGAAATACAGGAAAAAAAGCCAGAATTCAAAGGACAAATCCAGAATTCCAAGATGTAAACTCAGAATTTCAAGGAAAAAAGCTGAAATTAAAGAATATATTCATATTATTTAACCCTTGTGCATCAATTTTTAAAAAAGTTACACATAGGTCACTTTTTATACTTTCACCGACCACATATTTTTACCAGTACTACTTCAAAACTACAAAAGATAAACGGTCATATTAAGGATTTCAACTATTTTAATTACAGTCTGTTTACATAATGAAACTGTGTTGATGTTTAGTATATATATATATATATATATATATATATATATATATATATATATATATAATGAATCTACTATTTTCCAAATATATTAAAGGCTAAAGCAGATTGTTTAAGATTATTACAGTTTTGGATACGTCAATGATCAGAAACATAAAATTTAATTATATATATATATATACACACACACACACACACACACACACACACACACACACACACACACACACACATATGAAGTCTGAATTATTCGCCCCCCTTAGATTATTTCTTTTTTAAATATTTCCAAAATGATGTTTAACAGAGCAAGGAAATTTTCACAGTATGTCTGATAATATTTTTTCTTATGGAGAAAGTCTGATTTGTTCTATTTCGGCTAAAATAAAAGCAGTTTTATTTTTTATTAATTATTTTAAAGACAAAATTAATAGCCCCTTTAAGCTATTTTTTTAATTACCCTAACCTGCCTAGTTAACCTAATTAACCCAGTTAAGCTTTTAAATGTCACTTTAAGCTGTATAGAAGTGTCTTGAAAAATATCTAGTAAAATATTATTTACTGTCATCATGACAAAGATAAAATAAATCAGTTATTAGAAATGAGTTATTAAAACTATTATGCTTAGAAATGTGCTGGAAAAAAATCTTCCCTCTGTTAAACAGAAATTGGAGAAAAAAATAAACAGGGGGGCTAATAATTCAGGGGGCTAATAATATATATATATATATATATATATATATATATATATATATATATATATATATATATATATATATATATATATATATATATATATATATAT